TCCACATTTGTGGCACGATTCTTCGTCGAACAGACAACATCAAATTGGGTGCGAATGCTAAATCTATATATAACGAGATTCTAAGTTCTTCACAGTGAGGAAGAGGAGGAGATGTTGTTGTTGTTATCATCATCATCATCATCATCATCATCATCATCATCATCAGAACAGTACCGAAAAAGAAACGTGATACCATTTGTAACTCGGTATTTACCCGAGCTCCCCACGGAGTTGGATATGGCACAAGGCCGGTTTAACGTCGGTCTTTCCGAGCGCGTACGCTGGTGGAAAAAATTCCCAGTAAACCCCGCATACACGGGGTCGAGTGGCTGTCTACACCCCCAGATGAGACTCTGTCCGTAGGCAAATCTTCGTCTGAGTTCCTCTCCGTCCGAAGGTAGAGAGGCTGTCAAACAGAGTATTAGCAAACTCAGAGGTTTGTTGCACTAATTGTAATTCAGGTTTTTTTTTTAATTGTTGATTGATTGGTTCATTTTCTACGGCTTATCTTTTCTGGCTTTAAATAAACTTGCAGGTTATTTAAAGCCAGAAAATATTTTTAGATTGAAATTTTTTTTTTTTTTTTTTTTTTAGATAAGAATGATTTTTGTGACACAAGTCTTATTAATTAGCAAAGGAGAAGAGGTGGATTCATAGCTTTTCCAAGGGTATTTGCGCGTAAGTGATTATAACGAACCTAATGGGAATTAGAACTTCGTTCTCCGATTAAAAATTCCAAGCTATTACCGATTACAACGTCCGTAGATTCAAGCTTACAGCACCTGGTATTCCCAAGGGCTCACCCATCTACGTACTGACTTTGGTGTTTGTGCAGGAATTGGTGTTCCACTGTGATGTGACTGTAAACTGGGTTATCGTTAATGTTAGAATGGGATTCAAGGTTTTTAAAACTTTGGTGATTTCCCTAATGCGAATGTTTAACGAGTCGTAGGTTCGCATTCAGCGGAGGTGAATGTTATCGTCACACGTTAGCAATAAGAACATGGAACTTAAAAGATCCATTATATTTCATTCAACTTTAATGGATATGTGGGTACGGGGACCGATCTGGACATAGACGCTGCCTTTTTATGACGATGTAAAAGTATCTCCTCTTTCCTCTGGCGTGGGTGCTTATATATCTAGCAGCCGTGCTGGTTTTCTCATGCGTGCACATCCTAGGCTCAGAACAGATGTGTCGATCACGTGTTTAACTGCCAGAGTCAACCTGGGTCATCCTGTGAACTACGGATCAGCACTTGGCGGCTAGAGAAGCAGCTCGCAAATGCATCTGATTTCTATAACATAACCCTTGTAAAGAGCTTATTGTTAGAAAAAGTTTGTGTATATCGCATTTTCGAATGAAAGTATATCGTCCTGTGTGTGTTGAGTGTTCTTAAACCTACAACAATAATTGCTAAGTCTATTCTGCTGCCATCAGCGGTGAGCGTTATGCTACATAGTGCAACAGAAATAACTACCCCATTTTGAACTATCACCTGTATAGTACCCCTAATCATATGAATCTAGCAATGGTGTCCTTAAGTAGCTAATGTCTTCACCATTAAGCGTGAGGTTTTTCTGTGAGATATAGGTGGGTATTGTTGTCTTACCCAATACTATAATATTAATATATTTACAAGATTCAATGCCTAATACCATAAATGTTATTCATTTTACGGTAGATCTATGGATAATGGTACCCTGCCTGTCAAAACAGTCGCTCTTCTCTGTGAATCGTTAATAGTTGGTCGTATTTCCAGTACCAGGAAACATAACACTTCAATGTTAACCTATTTGGAAATATTTTAAAAGAACATGTTACAAGAATTCAATAACTATTCCAAATATATTTCAGGAAGAACAAAAGAGAAAGGAAGATAAAAAAAAATAGATGTAGAATCGATTTCTTCTTTTTTTTCTTCTTCTTTCCTCCTCTGGGTATGACCATGAACTAGATTTGGCAGCAAGAGAGATTGAAGGTTTTGAGGAGCGTGGAACCACCTCTTAACTGAACCAACCCGGGATGGTAACACCTGGCAAATAGTGAACACTCCGTACCCCCCCCAATATAATTTTCATACAAAAATTACCAACAATAGTAGTTAAATTACCAACGATACATTTTTTGTACTTAAATTACCAGCAATACATTTTTTCTAAAAAGAAAAAAAAATACCAGATGGTCATTTTCATAGTAAAATTATCAACAATGCATTTTATGTAGTAAAATTACCAGCAATATTCTTTTATAGCAAAATGGCCAGCAATACATTTCTTGACAAGGAGGCATGGTGAAGTAATGGTAGGCGGCTCGGATTGAAGAATCACAGAGCAGAGTTCGAATTCCAGTTAAATCGTTTACATTCAATTACGTGCTAATAACCTTGGGGATGGTATTAATCAATCACGTTTCTGAATTAGATTCTCTGCTAAAAACGACTCGCTTTTATTTTTTTTAAAACACACGATCACAGTCGATGAAAAATGGATTGTATACAACAATATGGAGTGAAAAAATATCACGGAAAACGAAAAGAGTTGACACTAACCATGCCAAAAGTCGGTTTATATCGGTTGAATTTGATACCGTGTATCGGGTGCTAATGTGTATGAAGAGCTCTAGCCGCATCATCAGACTTGGATTCAGACACGTCTTCGCCCCCTACTTGGACTGAGTAAAGGCATGAATCGATAAAAAAAATGGCCAGAATTGGTAAATTGCAAGGATTCCGACTACTCCGATCAATAAAGAGAAGCAAATGATGAAAATACATCTAAATTTTCTTCAAGTTCCTGCTTAATATCTGACCCGTCAGAAATTGGCACAACTTGGTAGGAATGTCCCTGTACACCTGCCGTATGTACCTGACCTTACACCCTCGGATTCCTACATATTTCGACCCCGACACATGATTTAACACCACAGATTTATATCAGCCTGTACAAGACAAGGGGCCACTCGAGGCAGAGAGTGACGTTAAAGGATATATATACATATATATATATATATATATATATATATATATATATATATATATATATACGAAATCACTAGTCTTGTATGTATCTATGTGTGTCCCGAGAACGAACTTAAACATAATACACCCTCTAAATTTAGGAGAATATTGTATCTTGAATCCCTGACTAGAGCAGCGCCAAATTTATTTAAAAGTAAACAAGAGAATCTTAAGCTAGGGCCATTATTTTTGTTTTGTTTTCACGCAATTTTTTTGTAAGGTTTACCCTGTACAAGACCCGGGAATCACTTGAGGTAGAGGATTACGTTAAGAGGTAGTTTATACGGATAGGAAGGGAAGATAACGATTAACTGTAGACATGAAGATTAAGATTGTAGTGACCGGGGAAACATCCTCTTGGGAATATGTATCACTGAGCAGTTGTTCTCAGGAAGAAACTGTTAGAGTAGAACTTACGACTCCTAGGATTAAATTTGACACAGTGACACACTAACATTTGCATTTACTATATAGATATTGATTTACGATAGATTTGATTGTATTCCTTATTTCTTAAATAAAACACATTTTTTATACTCGTAGTATTGTTGCGGACCGAAGTTTTTTTTTTTTACGCGTGTGATATAAACACGTGTAGAACTCTTGAAATAAAAAAGCACACTACAAAAATATGGCGAACTAAAGATGAGTCCAACTAAAAGAAAATGTAGCATAAAAACAACAAGAAACATATATATATATATATATATATATATATGTAGAAACAAATATACGTATTAGACAACAAAAAGCGTTTACGGAAGACAAAAGCATTAACGTGTGTGTGTGTGTGTGTGTGTGTGTGTGTGTGTGTGTGTGTGTGTGTGCATGAGCGAAAAGAGTTCGTGTTTCAAAATATGTTCTTATGTATGTGTGTGTGTGTGTGTAGGTGTGTGTGTGTGCCTATAAAGTTCATGGCATCTTTCCAAGGAAAAGCATAGTGTCCCTACGAAGGGGAAAACGCAATCTTCTGCGAGAGCCTTACATGGTCGCAGTGTCCGCTGAAAAATGGAAGAAAGAAGGAGAGAGAGAGAGCGAAGTATTCTCAAGTATTTATACTTTACAGATAGCGACCCCTAGGAACAATTTGGACAATTAGGAAATTAAGGAGGAGCTAACTCCGACAGCATCTTTTAAATTCACTGAAAAAGAGTTACGAATTTTTGTTCCGACACAATACTTTACTCTGTTCTCATCTGTCTATTCCGTTTCCCGCACACCACCCTTTCACCTCTGTCAACGAATCAGAATGCAGTGGTTTCATTGTTCGCATTTCCTGTCACCAAACACAGCATTATTTTTCTGTATCATCTCATTACTTTTCTCTTCTTAAGTAAGATTATTTATTTATTTATTTTTAGAACTTCAGAGATACACCCCTCCTAATGCGTATACTCTCTCATGTCCATGTCCATAAATTTCTCTTTGCGTTCTTTTCCTCCATTTTTTTTTTTTTTTTTAAGCATTCCCTGGTCCCCGGGTTATATTTCACGATTCCCGCCTTTCGTTGTGAACGGGTGATATTTGCAAAGTTAGAAATCTCTTGATGTCTCTTTAAGCAACAGGCACGCGCAGTTATTTCTCATATATTTCATGTCATCAATTTTATACTTCTCTTTTTTTTGTCTTTTTTTTTTTGACATGTTTGCGTTCCTTCTAATATTTTTTTTTTATTTGAAAACAACCATCTTTCTTTTTTCTTTGTTTAAAGCCATTATTTTTAAATTGTTTTCTCTTAGGATTTATTTTATTGCTCCCTCTGTTTATTTATCTTGTTATTTTATATTTATTACCATTTTCCGTAATTTTATTTACTTTTCTTTAATATTATTCTTTCTTTTACTATTTACCATTTTCTTTTCCTTACATATTTCTTTTTCGTTTCCCTGTTTTTTTTTTGGGGGGGGGTTGTTGTTGTTGTTTTTTTTTGTTTTTTTTTCTTGGACTTCTTCAGCTTTCAAATCATAATTTTCTTTAAAAATGTTTTTTTCCCTTTCTGTATTTTTACATAATTTCTTTTTACAATTCCTCGCCCATTTTTGCTACTATCTTCTTCTTCTTCTTCTTCTTCTTCTTCTTCTTCTTCTGTGCCGTCTCCATTCAGGACGTTGGCGATCATGGCTCTCCACAATTTCCTCTTCTTTGTAGCTCTTAATAAATTCTGTCTTTTTAAAAACTCCCCTTAACATTGTTCCGCCATCAATTTACAGAAGCTCATTATTCCTTTATGCGCCGTGTCCCGTTGGGACTTTGGCGACCATGGCTCTCCACAATTTCCTCTTCTTTGAAGCGCTTAATAAATTCTGTCTTTTGTAAAACTCTCTTTAACCTTGTTCCGCCATCCATTTACCCAAGCTCATTATTCCTTTAAGTGCCGTGTCCCTTCATGACCTTGACGATCATGGCTCTCCACAATTTCCTCTCCTTTGTAGCTCTTAATATGTTTTTCTTTTTGTTATCTCTCCTAAATCCTTATTCTACCATCCCTTTAATCAAGATTGCTAGGTACGTTATGCATTGTTTTCCTATTTACCTTTTGTCTTCAATCTGACCTGTGAGTATAAAAATTTCCAAGCTCTCTTTCCTCTTTATGCGCTATCGATTTATCCAAGCTCATTCCTTTTCTATGGGATGTGTTCTTTCAGTATGTTAACGATCATAGTTCTCCACAATTTCCTGACCTTTGTCGTTCTTAATAAATTTTGTATTTTGTGTTATCTCGCCTAAACCCTGGTCTGCCATCCACTTATACAAGCTCAATCGTCTTCTTCGCCTATATGTCATCTTCATTGACGATGTTGGCGACTCTCCACAATTTCCACTCTTTTGTAGCCCTTAATAAATTTTGTCTTTTTGTTATCTCTTCTAAACCTGATTCTACCATCCCTTTAACCAAGCTGGCTATGTAAGTTATGTATTGTTTTCCTCTATAACTTTTGCCGTCAATCTGTCCTGTTAGTGTCAAATTTCCCAAGCCTTCTTTCCTCATTGCCTACTTAGAAATTTCAACTCACTCTTTCTTATGTTAAATATAACTATCCTTTTTGTTTCGATTTTCTCTAAAACTTCGTCGTTGCAGACATGTTGGGTTCGTGGCATTCTCAGCATCCTCCTGTAGAACCACATTTCTGTTACTTCAAGTATCTTCATCAGTGGATGAGACTTTTCAGCGTTTACTGCCATCAGATGTAGACTGATATTAAGTAATAGTTCAGTACTGTTTTATCTTGAGCTAATGGAAAGTTTCTATTTCATAATACTTTGCTTAGTTTTTGAAAGGCATCTTACGCTATTTCCATGCGACTTCGGATTTCAATTTCACATTTTCCGTCCTTTGTTAATCCGTTTCCCAGATATTTATGTTTTTGTGCTTGTTTGATTTTGGTATCTCGAATTTGTAATTTGCATATTGGGTCATTGCTTTTACTAACAACTGTGTTCTTACAATTGGGGTTTAGTCCTTTCTTCTTGCTTTCCTTCAGAACCTTCTGTAGGAATTATTGTAGTTTCCGTTCGATGTCAGCTAACAACACTGTATTATCTACATATCTCATGTTGTTAAGATTGTATCCGCCAATAGGACCTTTAACTTCCCCAGAATCGCTTCTTTGAAGGCACGAACGTTTTTTGTATGTTTAATGAATTCACTTTCTATCCGTCTACAGGCAGTTTGCTACGAGTACAAGTTATGGATTCTTATTCTTTATATACTGTGTCCTTTCAGGACTTGGGTGATCAAGGCTCTCCACCTCCTCCTGTCACTTGTAGCGCACAATAACTTTTGTATTTTATTTCTCCCATACCTTCTTCTGATATCCCCTTGCTTAAGTCTGTTAAGTATGTCACACGTTGCTTTCCTTTGCCCCTTTTTCTCTCAATCCGCCCTATGAGTATCAGATTTTCCAAGCCCTCCTTCCTCATTACGTGTCCCAGAAATTTCATCTGCTTCCTGATGTTAAGTATAGGTTTTCCTCTTTGCATCTTCTCCAAAAACTCATCGCTGCTCACATGTTCTTAGCATTCTTCGGTCGAACCATACCTTCGTTGCCTCGAGTTTTTTCTTTATCTTTGAAGAGACCGGTCAATTATTTGCTGCCGTAAACGAGGACAGCTATCACGAAGCAGTTCAGTGCTCTTTTCTTTGTTACCAACGAAAACCTCCTGTGTGGTAATACCCTGCCCAGCTTTTGGAATGCGTCTTTTACCATCCCAATACGTCTTCGGATCTCAGCATCGTACTTACCGTCCTCTGTCAGAACACTTCCCAGATATTTAAATTTCCGTAGCTGCTTGAGTATAGTGTCTCTGGCCTGTAAATCGCATTTCCGGCTCATCTTTTTGCTGATGACCATGCATTCTGTCTTCTTGTAGTTTACGCTTAGTCCCTTTTTCCTGTTCTCCTTCGCTACTTTCTGTAGGAAATTTTGTAGTTTCCTGTCCGTGTCTGCTATCAGCACTGTGTAATCTGCGTATCTTATATTATTCAGATTGTGGCCGCCAATGATGAATCCTCGTAGAATTTCCAGCTGTCTCAGAATTGCCTCGCTATATAGTCTGGTGAACAGACACATCATTGCCTTTCGCCCCTTTTTTGTATTTTTGCATATCTGCTTGGCTTATTTTTTATCTTTCTGTTATGGGGTCCTCCCCTTTTTCATATAAGTGGATTCGACCAGAGTGTTACTTGGACTTCTGCAGTTAAATACCCAGAGTCAGTCGTTCACATCTGAACCGACTGTTCGGTTGAACTCTCTACCTTCGGGAGAAGAGGAACCTGAACGAGGCTACGCCGAGGGGCGGAGTCTCGTTCGGGGGTTGTAAACCGGCCATGAGCCCTTTATACGGGTGTCAATGGGCATATTTTGGGGCCCAGCCCACGGGCTCGGAGAACCCACAATAAATAACCGACCTTGTGTCACATAATGCCGCAGGGGGGGGGGGGTGACTGAATATCCAGTCAGAATATGGAGAGTGAGCAGAGATTGTGATTGAGTTGGACGTAGAGTAATAGTGTGAGGTAACCGCTTGTAGAAGTCACAGTTACAAGCACGTAGACTCTAAGGAAGTCCTACTTCGAGACTGTATATATCTATATGTTATTGCTACTAACCGCGTTCCTGGATTTACTAACAGTATTACCCTTTGTATTATTGTGTAAATACATTTAATTTCTTGCGTTTGTCATTCATTGGAAACCGAATTTCATCTCGGAATCCACAACACTTTACCTTTTGCTAAATAATATTTCTTTTTCTTATTGATATAAGCACGTATATACAAAGAAGTTATACGAACTGTTTTCACGTATACCTAAATAAATCATTACGTCCGTAGCTTTATGATATAAAAACACAACACGCATTGCCTCTTCAACACGATCTGCTTCTGTGTCAATACACTTAATTCCGCGCGAAATTTTAAGAACATCGATTGGTCAGTCTACAGTGCAATATTCGGATCAAAATACAACAAATAATGACGTCTGAAGTTACGGATTTATTTGATCCATCCTCGTATATACATTGATCTGAAATCATTTCGGTTGTCGTCTTTATTATTCTTTATTCACATCCACTCTTCACATTGGTCCACTTTATATTTCTTTTCTTTTCAAGTTAATGATCTGTAAATATTGGTCCGGCTATTTCATAATAATTTCTTGTCTTTAATTCTGGTGAAGTGTCCTATCTCAATTTCTTCTTTCTCATTTTATCAATTCTATTGCCATTCTTTCTTTCTTTCTTTCTTTCTTTCTTTCTTTCTTTCTTTCTTTCCTCTCTTTTGGAGGTATATTTTGTCGAACAATCACGTGGTCAAGATAAACACTCAGTTGTGGAGCAAGCTGAGTGAAGAATGATTCAAATTGAGGAAGAGAGTTATTTATGGTGCAATGGAGCATCTCATTATGCTAAAGTGGGATAGTCCATTGCTTGGGCTTTGATTGGCTGCTGGTACCTGAGTGGAAGTATTTCTATATAAATACCAGCTTAATTTCAGTTAGTTTGCAGGGTTTGTATTAGGTTACAACCTGCTTTATTTTTGTCTGCCAGCTGGACGCTAGCTGGAACTCTTACGCCGGTAAGTGTCGTTTATTGTATTGTTATTCTACATCTCCTTCCCCCCATCGCGTGTTGGTAGTGGCCTTTGGGGAGGGATTTGTTCCTTTAAACCTGGCTGGTTGTGTGGAAGTAGTCTGGACAATGCCCGAGGGTTTTTTGCCCGTGTTATTGTAGACGGCTGAGCAGTGTTTGATGGTATTCCAGCGTCGAATGTTTGTGACAATGGTGTAGGGATCTCAGGTAAGGGCACTAGGTCTTGGAACTGGAATTGTTGGTGTATCCAGTTTCCTGAGAAATCGGCGATTTCGTAAGGTAATTCTACCTGATCCGTCAACTCTGATACGGTATTGGTGGTTGGGGAGGATTTCAATGACCTGACCTGTTGTGTCCCATCGACGGGTTGTTGGTCTTTGTAGTGCCACTATTTGTCCTTTTTGAAGGGGGTTTAAAGTGTGTGCTGTTCTGTTGTATCTCTCTATGAGATGTGCGTTCCGCCGGGACAGACTTATCTCACGATTTTGGGCTGCGGTTATCCACTTCGCGTGTGGCTTATAGAGTGTGGGGTGGGATGGTATGTAGTCACGTAGTCGGCGGTGGAGTAGTAGTTGAGCAGGGGATAGCCCAATGTTTTGATAGGCGTATTCCTGTATTGGAGGATGGCTCTTGCTGCACGGTTATTATCCAACGATCCTTGGGCTCCTGTGTTGCCATTTATGATTCTTTTGGCTGTTTTGACAGCGAGCTCTGCTCGACCATTGGATTGTGGGTAACCAGCAGATGATAACCTTTGTTTAACAGCCCAGTCTTGCAAAAAATTGCTTGAATGGAAGAGATGTGAAGGTGGCCCACCATCACTGCTGAGTTCCTCAGGAGCGCCGTAGGTTTGAAATATGTCTCGGCAAATCGAAATAATCCTTGAGGCATTAGCTTCTCCGTGGCTCAAGTGGTATAGATTCAGCCAGCCCGTTAACCTGTCAGCGCATGCTAAGTAACCATGGTTTCCAACATGGAAGATGTCCATGACGATTTGCTGAAATGGCCAATCAGGAGATGGTGTCAAATTGATTGGCTCTTTTGGTTGACTCGGGGCAATTTTTGAGCAGAACGTACAACCTGCTCTAATGTCACGAATTGAAGCATTCATCCCGGGCCAATAAACAGATTCATTGGCACGTGCCTTCATGCCAACTTCTCCTTGATGTGCAGAATGTAGGCTATGTAATATTTTTGCGCGTTGTGAGGTGGGGATAACAATTCTTTGATCTAAGAGCACTAACCCGTCGTCAACACTTAGGCGGTGCCTCACTTCCCAATATTCGCGGATTTCAGGTGCAGTGAGGATGCGCGTTCTTTGGAATCCGTTTTGTATTACTTCAATTAATTTTTTGTATTGCGGGTCGCTGTGTCCCGCCGTACGGATATCGTCTGGTGAGATGAGCTCCAGGTTGTCATTTGCACCGAATGTTGCTAATAAGGTTGTTGATTTGACCCAGTCATCCATGTTGTCAGACTCTATGATGTCTGATTGAGAGGTTCAGCAGTGAATACATTTAGGAGTGCCTGTGAGATGTCTGCTGGGTTACGAGAGACAGCATCGGAGGCTCTGTGCCATTTCCCAGGGCAGTGCTGAATGGTGAATCTGTACCTGAGGGTTTTCTCCTTTAACCTGAATAATCGGGGGTTTTGGATTTTACTAAGGTCTCTATCTCCGAATAATCCTTTTTAGTGGCTCATGATCTGTAACCACTATGAGATTCGGGCAACCCATTACAAAAATCCGACACTTTTCCAATGCCCATGCAATTGCTGCTGCTTCGCCTTCAATAGGTGCATATCTGCGTTCAGCATCAATGCAGAATCTGCTACCAGCAAATATCAGGCGCCAACCTTCAGGGCAGCAAACTGGGGCTTTGTCAGTGGTGCATGAGCAATACTTCTGCAGAAGTAGGAAGCCCATTCCGTCTTTGCTCCAATCTGGGGCAAGGCAGGTTATTCTTTTCTTTTGAAATGTTGCGATGCCTTTTCGGACTAAGTCAACTATGACCTTCTTTGACTGCTGGAATGCATCCTCAAGGCTTTTATTCCATGTAAAGTGTGAGTCTCGTTTTACGAGATCACGAAATGGAAGCATGACTGGGCTTAGTGAGTATGCCCAAGCGACTTGGTTGACCAGCCCAAACCATGATCTAGCATCGGTGAGTGTTTTTGGTATTGGGAAGCTCAATATTGCCTCCAGCATGGATTTAGAAGGGTTACACCAGAAGATGTTATTTGGAGGCCCCCAAACTGCACCGTGTCTTGGCAAAATTGGAATTTTTCTCTATTTATTACGATGCCGTTTTTTGCACAATGGAGGAGAAAATCGAAGGTGTGAAAAAGGCTCCTTCGATGTCAGAGTCATAGAGTAGGGTGTCATCCACGATTTTTACTTTGCGGGGATGTCTTTTATTACTTCATCATACCTTCGGGTGTAGGCATCGCCAGATGCTAAGGTAACCTTGTGGCATTCTCAGGTACATGAACCTTCCCCATTCTGTGATGAAGGTGGTGAGTGGCTGGGACTCTTTATCTAAGGGGATGGAATGATATCCATCAACAGCATCCAACACTGTTTTCTTTTGTTTAGGTGGCACTTGTAGTGCTAGCTGGAATGGTGACCCTGTATGGTGTGTTTCCCGTTTGCACTGTGAATTCAAGTGTTGGTAGTCTATGGTTCTTCGTGGTTTGCCATTTTTCTTGGCGGTAATTACCATAGTGCTACACCAATCAGTGGGCATGCCAACGGGTACTGGGGTTATGATACCCCTTTTCACATCTTCCCAAAGGGCCTGTTTTACGGGCTCTTTGAAGTGAAAAGGCACAGGAATTGGGTTATGTCTGGCTTTGGGGATTGCTCCTTCTTTGAGGTGTATATGTGCAGTGGGGCCAGACATCGGTGGGAATTCACCATTGTTCTTGAACGCCGTTTCGGCAAATTGATTAAATAGCCAATTCTTGAGCCTATCAATGTTTTGTTCTGTTGGGAGAAAAGGGAGTTTTTTGGGGCGTGTTGAAGTTGTCCCTCGACTTTGCATTGTTTAGGGCTCACGTCCGATTTTTTTATGTGTGCTTGTCGAAGGCATGTGTTGCATTGTTGTTTGGGGTAATATTGTAGTTGTTGGCTTCGGGAAGTCTTTGGACAGTATCCCTACATCAATGCAGGCTGCTTTTGCTGAAGTATAGCCGCTGAATCTTTTTTTTTGCATATGTATAGGGCTTGTTTAGTTGTTCTTCCTTGGACGATGAATTCCACGGGGAGCCAACCCTGACATACAAGCGTAAAGCCTCCCACAGCTCGGACGACTTTTCTTGATGGAATGAGGTTGTTGATAGTGAGCCCCATATTCAGAAGGTGCTTAAGTCCCCTGAGACATATGGGTGGCCCCACTGTCAGGAAAGATTGTCATCCTAGTGCTGTGATTTCTGGGGATATTCTTAATTTGTCTGGGATCCGGTTTTGGTGAAAATGGAACAACATATGCATCAATTTCCCTTATCTGGCCTGTGTCTTTAGATGTATACGTGCCTGTCGTTTGATTGAATGTGATGTGGGCGATAAGTGTGTCCATGGCGGCTTCATTAGCCTCTAGGCTTTTCCTGACCGCTTGAGCTGGTTTCTTAGCCCGGCATACCCTCGATAGGTGATTGGGCTTCCCACAATTACTACATGTTTGTCCCCATGCTGGGCATTTTAGCCGGCGTGATTCAGTTCCTGAGGTGCCATGCTGGTGGCTGCCACAACCTAAGCAAGCCTGGTGGTTTGATTTAACATTGCAGTTGCAATAGGTGCTGGTACGGATCGCCTCGTTGGCTTGTGGTGTACCCTTCTGTCTGCGGTATGTAGATAGCCGAGCAGCAGCTGTATCTGAAGCACTGGCCATTGAGGTTTGGTCCCGCAATGCTGATTCAAATGCCTCAGCATGACGGATATTTTGTTCAAGGGATTTAAGTGCCCCAGCTTTGGCCAGTAGGTCAGCCTGGAGTGTGTCATTTGCTATTCCACGGATGATCTGGTCCTTGATGTATATATCAGACAGGTCATGTTCACACGAGGGGCAGGTAAAGTTACAATCAACGGCTACGGCTCTGAGGCGGACAAGGTAACTTTGTATTGGCTCATCAGCATCCTGAGACATGGAGGCAAAAGCAAGGCGATGGACAATAGGACTTGACCTCTGGGTGACCAACACTTCTACCATGTCAAGTAGATTATCTGGATCAGTGGTAAAAAGTCAGGGTGCGTGTTGATTATGGCGTTTTGCACAGTCTCATCAGCACAATTGTATAGGTGAATATTAGCTTGGGAGTTTGGCATATTTGTCATCTTGGTAAAGACATCCCAGTCAATTCGGAACTTCCTGAATTGCTGTGGTGTCATCTCGAGATTGAGATGAGGAGGCTTGGCTGCTAGTGCCTGAATGCGGGTTGTCTGGGTGGTGGATTCCTTAGCCTGCTTAATGATACACAGGGCTTCTCCCATTAATGTGACTCCCAGCTCCTAAGCATAGATCGATCCAGCATTTGAAGGCTCTCGATTGTCAGCTTCTCGTCCGCAAATCTTGTTGCATGAGTTTTGGCCGAGTCGGTGGATATGCCTGCTTCAATGAAGAAGAGTTCCCAATTTTCAGGTGTCATAAATCCTGTTCGCAGCGCCATGTCGAACAATCACGTGGTCAAGATAAACACTCAGTTGTGGAGCAAGCTGAGTGAAGAATGATTCAAATTGAGGAAGAGAGTTATTTATGGTGCAATGGAGCATCTCATTATGCTAAAGTGGGATAGTCCATTGCTTGGGCTTTGATTGGCTGCTGGTACCTGAGTGGAAGTATTTCTATATAAATACCAGCTTAATTTCAGTTAGTTTGCAGGGTTTGTATTAGGTTACAACCTGCTTTATTTTTGTCTGCCAGCTGGACGCTAGCTGGAACTCTTACGCCGGTAAGTGTCGTTTATTGTATTGTTATTCTACGATTTAACTTCCTTTTTTTTTCCTTTTTTGTTCTTTTTTTCTTTATTTCTCTCTATATCTGTTTCAATTTCTTTCTTTCTGTCTTTCTTTCTTTCTTTCTTTCTTTCTTTCTTTCTTTCTTTCATGGTCTTTTCCGTCTGTGTTCAATATAATATTTGTTTCACTTTCAGACAATTTCATTTTCTTTCTTTCTTTCTTTCTTTCTTTCTTTCTTTCTTTCATGGTCTTTTCCGTCCGTGTTCAATATAATATTTGTTTCACTTTCAGACAATTTTTTTTTTTCTTTTTTTTTCTTTCTTTCTTTCTTTTTTCTTTCTTTCATGGTCTTTTCCGTCCGTGTTCAATATAATATTTGTTTCACTTTCAGACAATTTCTTTTCTTTTTTTTTTCTTTTTTTTCTTTCTTTTCTTTCTTTCTTTCTTTTCTTTCTTTCTTGGTCTTTTCCGTCCGTGTTCAATATAATATTTGTTTCACTTTCAGACAATTTCTTTTCTTTCTTTCTTTCTTTCTTTCTTTCTTTCTTTCTTTGTCTTTTCCGTCCGTGTTCAATATAATATTTGTTTCACTTTCAGACAATTTCTTTTTCTTTCTTTCTTTCTTTCTTTCTTTCTTTCTTGGTCTTTTCCGTCCGTGTTCAATATAATATTTGTTTCACTTTCAGACAATTTCTTTTTCTTTCTTTCTTTCTTTCTTTCTTTCTTTCTTTGTCTTTTCCGTCCGTGTTCAATATAATATTTGTTTCACTTTCAGACAATTTCTTTTTCTTTCTTTCTTTCTTTCTTTCTTTTCTTTTCTTTCTTTTTTGTCTTTTTCCGTCCGTGTTCAATATAATATTTGTTTCACTTTCAGACAATTTCTTTTTCTTTCTTTCTTTCTTTCTTTCTTTCTCTTTTCCGTCCGTGTTCAATATAATATTTGTTTCACTTTCAGACAATTTCTTTTTCTTTCTTTCTTTCTTTCTTTCTTTCTTTCTTTCTTTCTTTGTCTTTTCCGTCCGTGTTCAATATAATATTTGTTTCACTTTCAGACAATTTCTTTTTCTTTTTTTCTTTCTTTCTTTCTTTCTTTCTTTCTTTCTTGGTCTTTTCCGTCCGTGTTCAATATAATATTTGTTTCACTTTCAGACAATTTCTTTTTCTTTCTTTCTTTCTTTCTTTCTTTCTTTCTTTCTTTCTTTCTTCTCCTTTGGTGGTATATTTCACTTTCTTTTTTTTTCCTTCTTTGTTCTTTTTTTCTTTCTTCTTCTTTGGTTTTCCACTTTCCTTATTTTTCTCTTTATCTTTTTTCTTTCTCTTTTCTTCTCTTTTAGTTTTTTCTTCTCCTTTATTTCTCTCTATGTGTTTCAATTTCTTTCTTTCTTTTCTTTCGTTGGTCTATTTTACTTTCTTCCTTCCACATTTCTTTCTTTCTTTTTCCTTTGCTTTTTCGTCTTTCTTATTTCCCTCTCTATATATTTCTTTGTTTCTATTGTGGATCCCGTGAATAGAATCCTGCACAAATAAATAAACAACGCCAGAAATTGAGATAGAAAAATAAGTGTATTAAACATAAGAATACACACTTGAATTGAAGATTAGTAGTCCAGGAATGCGGGTTAAAGCCGTAATCATATATATATATATATATATATATATATATATGAAGAAAAATATATACGGAAAAAACAAACAAAAATCCTTATATACAAGTATGCTGTTTTAATGTTGATATGTCAACATATATATATATATATATATATATATATATATATATATATATCTGGACTCTTGTATAACTTTCTGAGAACACCTTGTGTATCTCCTCGTATCTCAAGGTATCTCCACGTATCTCAAGGTATCTCCACGTATCTCAACGTATCTCGATATTTAACAGTCCACCCACAAGGAATGTATGTGGACCAAGGCCAAGTTTAACGTGGGTTTCTCCGAGCCCGTAGGCTCAGCCAAAAAATATCCACTTTGAACCCGCATAAGCGGGTTCGGGATCTGTCTATCTCCCCGGACGAAACTTTTGCTCTTCGGCAAAGCCTCGTCCGGGTTCCACTCTGCCAAAGCAGGGCGTTCGACTGACGCATCTCGACATTATCTCGGTATTTAATATCCCACCCACGAGGAATATATGTGGCACAAGGCCGAGTTTAAAGTGGGTTTCTCCGAGCCCGTAGGCTCGGCCAAAAAATATACCCTTTGAACCCGCCTAGAAGGGTTCAGGGCCTGTCTACCTCCATGGACGAAACCTCGCCCTTCGGCAAAGCTTCGCCCGGGTTCCTGCAAAGCAGAGAGTTCGACAGACGTCGAGACTGTATCTCGACGTATCTTAACAGCAGGTATACTCTTTGTCAGTATAAGTATACTTTGGACTAGTCCATCTCTGTAAAAAGGGGTGAGCCCCACAACAGTTTCTGTCTTCTTCTATCTCCCTTACTTATTTTTCTTATATTTCATTCTTACTTTCCTTTTTCTTTCTTGCATTCCTTTCCTCTCTAACACTATTCTCATAATTTCAATATTTAATAGATTTAGCTTGTTGCGGACCCGGTAGGGTGCAGTGCTGGATTATACTGAGTGGCCTTGTGCCAGACACCACACTAAACTACCGAGCCTACAAGCAAAGTAAAAAAAAGCGTGAATGAACAACGAAGAAATGTGAAAAAAATCCACACGTGCATAAATAAAATATATTAACAAGATAGCCTCCTCGGAATGACTGAAAAAGACTGGGTTTCAACAAGAGTAATTTTTATTAAATGCAGGAAAACAAGTAATTTGTCCCGTGGTAGGGACCAATGAAATAGTTCCGCGCCAAAATAAAAAACAAGATGGCTAAAGGCGGGAAAATAGTTTCTTGAAGAAGAAGTAGATACCAGATAGTCAATGTACATGGTAATATTCATACAAGGAAAAATACTCACTGCGAGTTTAGGTAATGTGAGTGAATGTTATGTACGTATTTTTTTTTCTTTTTTTTTTTGTACTGGTTCAAAACAGATTTCTGACGAGACCCAAAGTGGACGACGGAATGATTTGTATGTTCTGCATCGTCTCGGAGTAGGACTTTGAATGACGAGTCTCACAGGGACGAGGAATTACTTATCTGGTGTTCTCATAGTCTTGTGAAAGAAATTCCGAATGACGAGCCAAAAGGAACGAAGAATTAATTATTTGGTATTTGCATCGTCTCGGAAAAATGATTATGAATGACGAGCCAAAAGGACGAAAAATTAATTATTTGTGGTCGCATAGTAAGATATCCTTCGTCAGTCAAACTGAAATATTGACGTGGATAAAAATGAGTCTGCTCAGCTCAGAGTCTGGAACACAACTGTCTTTTTTTCAAACAACCGTTTGTCGTTGACGTCACAAATTTTTCGCGGCAAGATTTCAAAAATCTAATTTGCATAAACCGTAGTAGCAGGATGTTTGACTACTGACCAAAACAGTTACTACTGTATTAGACCGAACGAAGGAGGAAGGGAGGTGTCAAACGCCGCGCGCACACACACGAGTGACGGAGAAAGGGAGGCAACTCGCGCGCGCGTAAAATGTCGTAGATGGAATAATACCTTATTCCACACAGCCCTCCTCCTGGATCAAATGTCGCAGACATTTGACTAATAATAGTAGAATGTTTCAAATTTCTTTGAAAGGTGACTTTTCGACCGGAGCTGGTATACTTAGGCTTGTCGAGAGAAACAGGTGTCTTAACATTCTCCTGAACTTGCGGAGTTGATTGGGAAGTAGTATGAGACGACGGTTTCTCTATAAAGGCAGGTTTCAACCGATCTATTGAAACGTTGTCGGTGTGAATACCTTTTGTATTTGGAAATATTTGTCCGCGCGTTTAAGAACGCGGTATGGGCCTGTGTAGGCCGGCGTAAGAGGCCGCTTAACAGAGTCGTTACGTACGAATACAAATTCACAGTCTTTTAGCTGGTGCGGTAAATAGATATCACTCGGGCAGTGCCGCGGTGGTGTATAGCATTGCCATTTTAAGGCGTAAGTCCTGAATAAAGAGGAAGAAACTGGTGGGTGGTCACAGCTGGCGAAAAATATTGGCCAGGTAAAGATAACGAAGTACCAAATACAAGCTCTGCAGGGGAGCATTTCAAGTCATCCTTAAGAATATTTCTTAACGATAGAAGGATGAGAGGTAATTCATCGACCCAATTATTATTCTCATGCTTCGTTGATAGCGAAGCCTTAAGGGGTGCGATGGAATCGTTCCACCAGGCCATTAGCACAGGGGTGATACGCTGTAGTACGTATGTGCTTTTGCACCAAGGAGTTCAGTGAATTCCCTGAAAAGACACGACTGGAACTGTGCTCCTCTATCTGTAGTAACCACTTTAGGAGTCCCAAAATTGAAATCCAATCGCGTAAAATAGCTTTTGCGACAGTCACAGCAGTGGTATCTTTAACAGGGATGGCAGTAGGCCATCGGGAAAAAACGATCCACTATAGTTAGAAGGTAGGAATAACCGTGGCAGGTTGGTAAGGGCCCAACTAAGTCCAGGTGTATATTAGTAAAACGAGCATTAGGCTCACTGAAAGTGCCCACGGGAGATTTTGTGTGTCTATGCACCTTACACTTCTGACATTGTAAACAAGTATTAACCCATTCGCGAATGTGAACGTTCATATTCGGCCAAACGAAACGGTCCGAAATTAACTTAACTGTGGCTCTTTTGCTAGGGTGTGAGAGTCCGTGTAGGTGGTCAAAACCTGTCTACGAAGAGACGGAGGAACATAAGGTCTTGAGATTTGGATTTTACATCACAGTATAAGACCTTGTTACTAAAGGAGCTGGACATTTCTGAAGTTCTAAAGAAGTGTCTGATAACACATGCTTCAGAGTTATGTCCGCTTCCTGTTCGTCGGCGATCAAATCTTGACTGAGTGCATCAGTATGCACGACGAACATTTCAGTACGAGATAGGGTATCGGCGACAGTGTTATCCGAACCCTTAATGTACCTAATATCAGTAGTAAATTGCGATATATAGTCCAGGTACCTGATCTCCCTCGCAGTGTATTTGTCCGAATTAGTGGACATAACGGACGTTAAAGGTTTGTGGTCCGTAAATATAACGAAGGACCTACCCTCGAGGAGGTGTCTAAAATGCTTAATGGCACGAAAAATAGCCAACAGTTCACGAGAAAATGTACTGTAGCGTGACTGGGCAGGAGAAAGTTTAGCGGAAAAGAACGCTATAGGTCTACGTTTAGAAGGACTGACTTGTTCAATGACCGCGCCTATTGCTGTTTCGCTAGCGTCAGTGGTCAGGTAGATATCCGATTTAGGGTCGTCCTCTAAGAAACTAAGCTTAGAAAAATTGCCCAGAGCGGTTTTAGCTGCTCGAAAGGCGTCCAAGGCTTCATTCTCAAGTATAATAGTCTTATTCTTCTTCTTCTGTAATAAATTGGTAAGGGGAGTCAGGATGTTAGAACAGTTTGGAATAAACCTCCTGTAGAAGTTGATCATCCCTATAAAGCGTCTCAACTGTTTAATAGAAACAGGGACGGGAAACTCAGTGATAGCTTTAATCTTTTCAGTTAAAGGGCAATTCCATTTGCATCGACGTGATGTCCTAAAAATTCTATATGGTCTGATCCGAAGACACATTTGTCCAGGTTTAGACGAAATCCGTAATGGGACAAACGTTGAAGAACTTCGTGTAGGTGTTGTTTATGCGAGGCAGCGTCCTCGCTAGCTATCAGAATGTCGTCAATGTAATCGAAAACAAAAGGAGTCCACGCAGAACCTCGTCCATAAGACGTTGGAATGTTTGTGCTGCGTTGCAAAGGCCGAAAGGCATTTTCAAAAATTCAAATAGACCGAAAGGTGTAGTGACAGCAGTTTTGGGACATCAGCAGCAGCTACTGGCACCTGATAATATGCTTTTGCTAGATCTATTTTAGTAAAAATCTTTTGCGCCTTGTAAACCAGAAGTGAAATCGTGGAGGTGGGGGATTGGATAACGATCCCGGACGGTGATGGAATTCAATCTTCTATAATCCACACAAATTCTATAGTCCTCCTTTCCTGGTTTAGGTACTAAATGAAGAGGGAAGCGTAAGGACTGTCGGACGGACGAATAACGCCTTCTTGTAGCATGTCGTCGAAAGCTTTCTTTGCGAATTTTAATTTGTTAGGTGCTAGACGACGAGGACGGAAAAAACAGGTTGACCAGTGGTCTTAATAAAGTGCTGTGTTTGATGTTTAGTTGAATCAATAGATCCAGCAGGACGCATGAGGTCCTGGTACTGATTCAATAAATCTAAGTACTCTTTATTGTGGCACGTTGCCACG